CGGCAGAGGTGGGCCTGGGGACCTAAGCGGATCCCCGCCCCCGAGAACCCTGTACCTCCTGGGACAGTGGAGACCCCAGAGAAGAGGCCTTGCCAGGCCGGTGTCTGTCCCTGCCCTGCAGGCCCCGGGTGGGCACCTCACAGCCTTCGTTCTCACCCTTAGCGAATCCTCAGAAACGCCTGTGAGGGAGGGCTTTTTACTCCTGCCGTTGGGATGCTGAGACTCAACGAGGTAAAGAACACGCCCAGACCGGGGCCTCCGAGGCCTGAGGCCCTTGTGCTCCCAGCCTGCCCCCCGTGCCAGGGCGCTGAGCCTTGGGCAGCAGAGCGGGTGCAGCCCCCCTTCGAAGGCTCATGGACTGGTTCCCCCACGGGACCCTTGACTCTTGGCTCCTGAGAAGCTGCAAAGACGTCTCCGTGGGGATGAGCAGGCGTGGTCACCGCGGTGTTGGGGTGAGCGTCGGGCAAGCGGGGCTGTTGGAGACGAGATGTCGGGCACAGTGGCGGGGTGGGCGTGGCCATTCAGCCGCGGGCTCAGCCCGTGCGGTGGAGGGAGGTCACGGGCGGGTCCGTGATGGAGGCTGGGGAGGCCGAGCCGGCAGTGGAGACGATGCTGGTGGCGGAGTGACCGCGGATTCGCGTGGAGCAGGTGTAGGCGGTGGGCACGGCCCTTGTGGGCTCTCGTCTGGCTGCTCAGGCCGGGATGAGGTGAGCGGGGGTGATGGGGAGAGCCTCACAGCTCAGGCCTGGACAGGGACACGGGGCCTCTAGGCAAACGGTGGCCTCTCCCCCTCTTGACACCCCCTGCCCTTCCTTTTCTCGACCTTGGGGTCAATAGCTATTCCTGGTCAGGATCAGTCCCTTCGAGTAGGGAACACGGGCCCGGTTATCAACCCCGTCCTGGGGGCCCGGCTCCCGTGTCTGCAGCGGGCCGTGACATCAGGGCCTGGGGGTGGGCAGATGGTAGAGGGGCACCCTGGGGGCTGTCCCCCTCAGGGCAGTTAGCAGGGGCCGGGAGGCAGCTGGTGGTGATGGCTGGGAGGGGCCAGCTGCCCCAGCACTGTCCCCAGCTCCGGGGAGCGGGACGCAGCCCAGCCGGCAGCACGTGGCATGGCGTTTCAGGGGCTCACTGACCCTTCCCCGAGGGTCACCAGCCCCCTGGGGATCCTCCGATTTCCCCAGCCAGATGTGACCTCCCCCCTCAGAGTGCCAGCCCCATATGGAGGCCAGATGTGGAGCCAGGTCAGCATGAGGCAGCCTGAGGTCGCAGAATGCGGGTGACCACCAGGTTTGGCAGCGAGGGCCAGTGGGCCCCAGTGACAGCTCGACAGAGGCCCCTGAGCCCGCAAGGCACTGCACCCATTGGGGCCTCCTGCCACGCGAAGGGGATGACGGGCCGCAGCCCTCCCCATCTGTGTGGAGACACAGATGGGAGCCCAGAGCCTGGGCCTCCAACCTCTGCCGCCCCAGCAGCTGCAGGGTGCCAGGCTCCAGAGGGACCTGCTGGGGCCCTGTCTGTTCCCCTCCCTGGAGCATCCTCTTCTCTGAACATCCTGTTTTTAGAAAGGAGGTGTGGGTAGGGAAGGCTGTCTGATGGAAGGTGTCTTCTCCCATCTCACAGACTGGGACACCGAGGCTCGAAGTCGGGGGTGGGGGGAAGGCGGGGATCTGTCCAAGGTGCCCGGGGACACGGGCCGCCTTCCCCTACAGACAGGCAACACTTGTCCCCGCTCACCAGCCGCCGTCTCCAGGATCACAGAGCACTTCTCCCACTCACGTGGGGCTCGGATGGGCACCTTTCCCCAGTGGGATGGATCTCGGGGGTCTTGACACCCTACTTCCCCGGGGTTAGAGCCTTTGGCACGAGGAGTCCAGTACCGTCGCTATTCCTGGGGTCTTCCCACACCTGCCGCTTCACCTGCTTGTGTGAGGCTCAGGCTGACAGGAGGTGGGGACGCCCCGAGAGTTCCCCCGCCTCTGAGCAGCCTGGGCTACCTGCGGGAGGCAGGCCTGGCCTGAGGTCAGAACAGCTTTTCAGAGGCTCGCGCAGGGTCACCCCCGGAGTGGGCGCCTCCGCCAGCAGGGCTCTGGTTAGGATCCTGCTTTGGCCCCTGTTTCCGGGCCTGAGGCCCCCTCTCTGGGTGTTCTTGGGGAAGCAGCTTCCATCCCTTGAGGGTGGTTTGACTCTTCGGAGCTGAGCGAGTGCCGTGTTCAGAGGGTGCAAGGGGACCAAAGTTGCTGCTGGACGCCCGCCCTCCAGGACAGGGCTCCACGCACGGTGTCCTGGGTGCCGGCCCAGCGCGGGAGGAGGGGCTGCTCTGTGTAGAGGGTTTGCTGCCGACGGCTGTGGCAGAACCGTTGCGTGGGGGCCCCGCTGAGGAGTGGGTACGAACTTGCAGCCAGGATGTGAGCCCTGGAGGCGCGGGGTCTGGGCTGAGGCCACGGTGGGGAGGCTGACTCTCTTGCCTGTCCTCTTCCAGAGGCCAAACTCCACTGATGGTGGGAACCGACCTGGGGGACTTCCCCAGCCCCACCGTTGCTGTGTGTGTGTGCGTGTGCGCGTGCGTGTGCGGCATGGGGGGCAGGTGTGGGAGGTGGGGCATCTCTTGAGGCGTGTGAGGCCCATGGGGGAGGGCGGGGAGCCTCGGCCGTTCTCCGGGGTGGCACTGTGACAGCTGGGGCCGTGCCCATGATGGGTGTGGGCACATGCACCGGATCAGGAGTTGCCTGGGCCGTTTCGGTTGCTTCTGGCTGGGAGGGGGCACCCGGGGCGTTCTCCCTCGGGCTGACTGCAGGGGAGACCTGCCTCCACGAGGAGGGCACCCCGCTGGGGCAGGGCAGGGCCCAGCTCCACTCTCCTGCCTGAGCCTCTCGCAAAGCCGGGCAGCCAGTCTCCTGAGCGCATCTCGCCTGGGGGCCGGGGGTGTTGGCAGGGTCAGACCAGGACCATCTCCTAGGGCAGAGGGCCAGTAGCCTCCCCGGAGCCCGGCTCTCTGATTCCCAGCTCTCCTGAGGGCCCCCTCTCCAGGGAGCCCCCGGCATCAGTCCCAGGCACCTCACCCCCTTCCCTCCCCTCCCCAGAACAGAGCCCAAGCACTGGGACCCAGCAGGGGAAGCTGAGGCCGCCTCTGTTGCTGGTGGTCTTAGAGAGAGGGGCATACCATTGCTGCTTAGGCTGAGGAGGGAAAGGGGGAGCCTTCACCAGCCCCGAGCTGGGTGTCCGCACTTAAGGTCTGAGGGTGGGGCCTTGGTGGGCGGGGCAGCCCCGGGGTTCCTGAGGACTCCGACTGGGGGGGGTCTGACCACAGCACGCCTCCAGCCCTCCACCGGGCGGGGCTGCCGTGCCCCCGCCACAGGTTAGCGTCCCCGCGAACAAGGCTTGGCCCTGCTCGCCCGTTTCTGACCTTCACAGGGGGCTGGGAAACATGTGGTCAGAGCTGCACTTCACGAAAGCAGCTGCAACTCATGACACGCTTTCCGTGCCGGGAGATTTATGGGGCCGCGTGGTTTTAATGGTTTCTGTGGGGCTAGTGTCCTCCCCCACTTCGTCCTGGCTGCTGTCTCAGAGGCAGATGGGCGACAAGCTTTCCCTGGCTGCACGGGCCCAACAGGAAGGTACGGCTGACCACCCAAGCCTCCTTGGGAGGGGCAGCTGCTGGGAAGCCCCCGGGGACCCACGCCGAGCAGCCCATAAATCTGGGAGACCTCCAGGAGGCAGGAAGCCTCCATGCAGAGGTGTCCCAAGCTGGAGGGGAGAGGAGACGGGCGCCCCCCTCACGCCGTCCCCCCATCCCCCCGGGGTCTGAGCCACGGCCCCAGGCCCCACCCAGCAGGTCATCGTCTCGGGCTGCGCCCCATGGATGTGCACTAACTGTGTACTCTTCGCTGCCCTAGCAGCTGGCCTAGAACCTGGCTGGCCAGGATCTCTGATCCCGGCAGGACGTCCCCGAGACCTGCAAGCGGGCGTGGGCATCAGTCAGCCCAGTGCCGCCGCCTGTCACACACTGTCCAAGGTGGTGGCAACGCCAGGTCCTCGAAGGGCCCAGAGCTGACAAACTCTCGGTCTCCTGGGCCGGAGCTGGGGAGGGAGGGAGGATTTGAAAGGACAGGGGCTCTGGACTGAGGAGGGGGCTGCCATGGGGCCGCGTGGCCCCCTTTGGGCCCTGGAGCGCCCCACTTCTCAGCTTGCCTCTGCCGGCGCTGGGACTCAGTGGAGGTTGAGGCACCCCGGGAAGGATGGCCAGAGGTCTGCGCCTACGGAAGGACACACGGGGGCCTCGGGCTGAGCCACGAATGGGGCTGAGAGGACCCCCCGGGCTGGCTGAGGCCTGCAGCCTGCCTCCCCGCCCCCTGCCCCGTGGCCAGGACCAGCCCGGTGCGGGCACAGGCCGTTCTTGCTGGCCCCCGGGGCCTGGCCCTCTGTCCCCCCCTCTCCCCCTTGGAGTCACGGCTCGCCCTCGAGGGCCAGGCCTCTGCCTAGGGCTGGAGAGGTGCGTGCCCCTAGTAGCCAGGAGGCTGGCTGGAGGGCGAGCAGGGGAGATCAGTCCTCACGGCCCTGCCCTGGTGGCCGAGGAGGGCTCCTGGCACAGGAGGCCTTCCCGTGAGCCCCGGACTTGCTGAGGGGGGCAGCTGCTCGGGGCTGTCTGCAGCTTCGCCGGAGCCCCGGGGCCCGCTGCAGGAAGGTTTTCCTACAGAAACTGGCAGCCCAGGGACCCAGCCTGGCCCGTGGGGTCCAGGGGCTGACTCCTCTCGCTCTCTGGAGGCTGCGCGCGCCCCTTGCTTTCCTTGGGCGCCCGCTCCATCCTGAGCTCTCAGTGTTTGGGTGCGCAGGGCTCAGAGGGAGGGCGGGCAGGCATGTAGGTGTGGACCTGAGACGGGGATGTTCATCCTGAGTGCGGGGCCCCGGCACCAGCAGGCGGGGGCAGCCTCCCCTCCCGGCCAGTCCCTCGTCTGCGCTTCAGAGTCTGGCCCCGGTGGCTTTGTGCTGGGGTCTCGGCACGCCTCTTACCGCTCGGTCTGATATGGTCTGATCTCACCGTTTGTCTTTCTGAGGGTCGTCTCATCTGCCTCGTTTCTGAATGAGGGATGGGGGATCCTCCCTGTGAGGCCAGTTTAGGACAGCGGTGCAGGGATGGGGACTTAGGACTGAGGGTCGTTGGCCTGGAGTGAGCGTCGTGTGGGTGTAAGGGGCACACCCTCGGGGACCATGGGTCCACGGCCGCTGCACCAGGTGCCCCCTGCAACCCCGGTTGGGCAGTGCCACAGGCCCCCAGGAGACCCCGGTCATTCCTGGCTCCCAGGCAGCAGGGATCAGAGGTGGCAGCCGAGCCCTGCGTGCTCCCCGAGGGGGCCGAGTGGGTCTGCCTGAGGTCACAGTTCCAGTGTGTATTTCGAGTATTTTCAGCCGTGTGTGCACTGCGGGGACTTGGCCTGCGCACTGTGTGTGCAGCTCATACTTGGTGGGCTGTGTAATATGCAGAGGCGTTGCCAAGGGCAGCGGAAATGTGGCCTTTTTCCAGCATAATCCCATGAATCTACCACCACCCGCCCCTGCCCCCGGCCCCGTGCCGTCCCAGCCCGCTGCCAGGGCGCTGCTGGGGTGGGAGGACGACAAGGACCCGTGCTTCGTCCCCATCGACCTGTGTCCACTGCTTCGGCCCCTGGATGCTTGAGGACAGCAAGGTGTCCAGGGCCAGATCCCCCTCCGGGCTGCGTCCTCAGTGCTAGGTGGGTCCCCCTTGGGCTGGGGAGGGAGAAGGGCCTCTGGGGGCCAGCCCGGGGCCTGAGCTTGTCCAGAGAGCTCTCTGGCCTCACCAGCTCTGCCTTCCCACCTGGCCCTGAGCTGAGGCCCAAGACCCCGAGTCTCTGATTCCAGTGACATGAGTTTGCTCACGCGGCCAGAACAAAGTACCCTAGACTGAGGGGCTCAAACAACGGAAACTCATTTTCTCCCAGTTTGGGAGTTTGGAAGTACTGGATCAAGGTGTCGTCAGGGTTGGTTTCCTCTGAGGCCTCTCTCCTGGGCTCGTAGGCGGCCGTCTTCTTGCTGTGTCTTCACGTGGTCATCCCTCCGTGCGTGTCTGTCCTAATCTCTTCTTAGGAGGACTCCAGTCGTATTGGATTAGGGCCCACCCTTTATAACTTCCTCTTAAAGGCGTTAAGAGGTAATTATCTCCAAATACTGTCACATTCTGAGGCACTGGGGGTTAGGACTTCAATGTATTAATTTTGCCGGCGGGGTGTGGGGGGGAGATACACAGTTCAGCTCTTAACACCAACATGTGATCAAAGCCACGTTCTCACCAGAGGTGCCTTCTGCAGCATCCTGTTGGCCACCCCAGCCCACCCTGGCTGGGGGGACACTGTGGCTGGGCCGGGGGTCTGAGGTCCCGCACAGGCAAACAGCTGCATCCTGGGGGAGGCTCATTCTGTATTCAGCTCAGTCCCAAGGAGAGGAAACCGGGGCTCTCGGGGATGCTCCCCGTTTGCTTAGCTGAGGGGCACGCAGTTGCCACGGTGACCTCTATCTGCGCAGTCAAACACATACAGAGCCCAGCCACCTCTCCAGGCTGGAGGGCTCCCCACCCCCACCTCAGAGTTCACACTGAGTGTTGAGTCCCTTGGTGACAGAAACATGGAAACGGTTGCCATGGCAGCCATTCTTTGGAGCCCTCAGACTGGAGTGCAAAGTTGAGGATGCCCAGGAACAGCTGAAATGAAAATATGGGAAAATGCACCACTTCCCTCGCCCAGAAGGATGAGTCAGAGGGCGTTCGGTGGAGGGCCCAGCCGTCCCTGCCCCTTCCCATCACCCCGGGGCTAAGTGTGGGCACAGGAGGGGAACGGGGAGGGCCTGGGGAGACCTTGAGAGAGGCCAGCCAGGCCAAGCTGTGGGTGGGCCCAGTGCCCAGAGCGAAGTGGGCAGGTGATTACCTCATGGCATTCCCTGGGGACATGTCCTCGTGGCTGGAGCGCACCTTATTTCGGTCCCTTCACCTGTAATCTGGGGGAGACAAGCTCCTTTCTCAGGTGGGCTCAGGTCCAGATCTTCAGCCTGTCCAGGGGTATACAGGACGTGGTGGCAAGGGGAAGGCGCCATGTTCTGACGGGGGGGGAAGGAGTCCAAGTTTTCCCTCGGACGGGGGTTAGTACAGCAGAGACCTCTGCACTTACCCCTGGAATGGTTGTGTGTCTCTCCCACCATCACCACCACCACCAGAAGTTCCCCAGGTAGGCTCCATGGGGCTCTGGTGCCTTGAGATGCACCAGCCAAAGGGTCCTGCAGTCAGTTGTTTGGGAAGCAAACACACGCGTGTCTGCACACGCTTTGTAGAAAAGGCTCAGAAAAGTCCTGCACTAAGGCGACTTCCTTTGTTTAAGCCAGTATTTTCACATATTTGAGCAAAATCTCCCCCCCTTAAAAAAGTATGTCCTCCTTTTATGAAGTATCTCTTAATATCCTGCAGAAAGAACACCTGTTAACGTTTACTAGAGCACTGATTCTCAAAGTGTGTTCCCTGGACCCACAGCATCTGGGAATGTGTGAGGTGTGCGGTCCTGGGCCCCAGTCCACATCTGTGGAATAGGAAATTGGGGTGAGGCCAGCCATGTGTTTGACGAGCCCTCCAGAAGTTTCTGATGCCTGCTCCAGCTTGAGAACCCCTTCTACTCAGGGAAGGAGGAGCAGAGAATTGAAAGGGAGGGGAAGGGCCTGAGGACTGGGGGAGGATCAGGAGGCCAGGGAGACGAGGCAGCCTGGCAGGGATGGGAGGCGGGCAGTACAAGGACCCTGGACTCTGGAGGAGACGCTGCAGCCACCCCGAAGGGCTGTTCAGCGTGCACTGCACCTGGGCACTGAGACCCCATTCTGGTTTTCTGAGATTGGATCAAGGGCAAGGCTGTATGTCTAGGGGTGTCATGAGGCTTGATGTTAAGTGACGGGGCCTTTGGAAATGCCCAGGGGGTACCACCTGAGGAGGTTCCCCAGAGCCTGTGCCGAGTGGCCAGTGCTATGCTCATGGAGGGCACCTACCCCGGCAGCTGGATTCTGCCCAGAGTTCTGGGGATGTGGGAAGAACCTACAGCACCTTCCTGGACCCTAAAGGGGCTTGTCCCCAAAGACAGTGCCGGGTGGCACCTAAAACACAGGACATACGGCTTCCTGGAACAGCGGCCTTGGCCCCAGTATCAGCTTTGCCACCACACACCCATTCCTAGTCGGGTACCCCATGCAGTCACTTCACTGCTCCGGGTCTTCTTTCCCTTCTCCATCAAACAGGCTGCCCCATCCCTGGCCCTCCTGGTCGCAGGAGCTCGGGCGGCACCCGTGGCCCACCCTCCTGCCTGTGCTTCCTTGCACCCGTGGCCCACCCTCCTGCCTGTGCTTCCTTGCAGCCGTCCAGATCCACATCCTGAAGGCGGACAAGGCAGGGGACTGGTGGAAGTTTACGGTGAACATCATCTCCGTGTACAAGCAGGGCACCAGCCGCATCCGCCGCGGTGACCAGAATCTGTGGATCCGCTCGCGGGACATCGCCTGCAAGTGCCCCAAAATCAAGCCCCTCAAGAAGTACCTACTGCTGGGCAACGCGGAGGACTCGCCCGACCAGAGCGGCATCGTGGCGGACAAGAGCAGCCTGGTGATCCAGTGGCGGGACACGTGGGCGCGGCGGCTGCGCAAGTTCCAGCAGCGCGAGAAGAAGGGCAAGTGCAAGAAGGCCTAGCGCGGCGGGTGCGGGGGGGGCAGCGGCGCGCCGGGCGGGCTGGGCGCCGGGGCCGGCGAGCGGGAGCGGGCGCCCCGCCACCGCGGCGGCGTGGACTTGGCCCGTGAGGGCTTTTCCAGCTGGGGGGAGGGTGGGGGCGGGGCCGGCGCGGGGCGCTCGGCGGCCCCGCCCCCAGCCCCGCCCCACTCCTCGCGCGCCCGGGCCCCGGCGGATTGAGGACGAGATTTAGCTACCTCACGGGTTCCCTCCAGAGCAGAGAGGCGCTCCCCCCGGGGCCGGGAGGGGGGCCGGGGCAGGCGGGCGCAGGTGGGCCACAGCGATGGGTAGAGAAGAGCACACGAGGAGAACTGTGAACCCCCCAGGCCCACCGCCTGGCCACCCCCCCCATCCCCCTCCCCCAACACAGAAAAACCCACAGGAGCCCTGCTTGTGACAACTGGGGCCCCCTGTGCAGGGGCCCTGGGGGCATGCGGGGGGGGGGGCGGCAGGAGCCTGTCCCAGCAGCCTTCCCCGGGCGGCCTGTGGTCTCCACCGCGCCGCCTCGGTACCCCCCCCCCCCGGCTGGGAAGCCCCCGCCCAGCTGACGGGTGGGCCCAGGGCCACCCCTGAGAAGCCCGCGGAGGTGCCTGACGGAGGCGGCATCGCGCACGCGAAACCTCCCAGAGAGCCTCCTTTCTGGCAAGCTGGAAGCGGCCCCTTCATGACATTTTCCGGGGAAGGGGCACGGGCGGGGTTTACGGCAGTGACGCTATTGTGTGATGACCTCAGCTCCCCCAAGGCCCCGAGCAGTGTCCACAGCTGGGCAGGGCCTGGAGCAAGGCCGTTGCGCCCGGCGGGGGAGGGGGCTGGCGTGCCCGAGCCGCGGGCTGGCAGGGGCAGAACCGCTAGGGTGCGGGGGCCGAGGAAGCCGTGGCCAGTGCCTGCTGCGGCCCTCACTCCTGGCTCCCCCAGAGTAGGGACAGAGGCCGCTAAGCTGGGGAAGCCTGCTGGGGCCACCCGCCGGGGCTGCCTACCTCTCTGTCCTGGTACTGCCCGGCAGCACCTTGCCCACTCCTTTCCGGTGGCCCCGAAGATGGCCTGTCGCCTGGGGGCGCCCGCTGCACTGGCCGCACACTGCAGTCGAGGCCCGGCTCCTCTGTCAGGAATTGGGTTTCATCTTCCCTGCTGGAGTCTGGCCGCTCAGAGGGGTCAGACCAAGGATGAAGCTCGGGCCCCGTGGTCTGGCTTCCCTGCTTCGGCCCCCATCGCCCCTGCCGTTTACCGCGCACCCGCCCTGTGCCAGGCACTTTAGCCTTGCGATCTCCTGTTAGCTTCGTAGCAGCCCTGAGAGACGGGTTCTCACCCCCAGTGTCCCCGTGCAGATAAGTGGCAGAGCCGGGCTGTCTGACCCTCCGCGGTTCCCTCGCAGGCCACAGGGGGTGCTTCTGGGTGAGTCACCCCTGAGATGCTGGCCCTGGTGATGGCATCAGGCCTGGAGCACAGAGATCAGGAAGTGGGGGCAGGGATGGGCACGGTTACATCTTCAGAGGTGGCAGCCAGGGCCATGGGTGAGGCCGGGTGTAAAGTGACCCCGGGGCAGCCCCTGGAAGCCCCAGATGGCAGGCAGGCAGGCAGGCCATGGCTGATCCTAAGGTGGAAGGAGAAAGGCTGCCTGGGGGTGTTTGGAGGGATTCCAGAGATGCCCCCAGGGGCAGGGGGAAGACAGAACTGCCCTGGGAAGGGGTATCTAATCCAAGCCCCAGGCTGGGAGCGTAGGGACCACTCCACGCAGTTGGCCCTCCAACGCTACCCAGGGTTGTCCGAGTGCACTTAGTTGGCCCACAGGCCTGGAGAGGCCCTGCCCTGCCCAGTTACCCAGTGTCTATTCATACTGGCCCGGCTTCTCTGCCCTCCGCCCAGAAGGGCCACGGCAGCCTCACCACCTCCCACCTGAGTGGGCCCGAGTCTCAACCCCCATCATCAGGGGCCTGCACTGGTCGTCTCTGAGGCCCCTCAGGCGCTGGAGCCAGCGGCCTGCCAAGCAGCACTGCATCTTGCTTTAAATTCAACCAGCCTCCAGCCTCGCCCTCCTGCTCGCCACCCCGAGAGCAACGTAGCTTGGTCTCTAGGAAATGTTAGGGAATGCCAGGGTGACCAGATCATCCAGCGTGGGGTGAGGACGCTGTTGGGGTATCAGTCCTTGCAGGCTGCCCTCCCCACTTCACGGATCCAGCCAGAGCCAGCCCACTGCTCCTCTGAATCCAGCCACCAATTGGGGGTGAGGACCCATCCTTGGGAAAGCACCCCTCTTCCTCCCCTCGCCCCCCCCTCCCCGGGAGGAGATGGAAATAGGAATTGAGGTGCTCCGGCTTGTACAGTTAGGAAAGGATATAAAATGGAACTAGATTTTGAAGAGCGTATTAACCAGAGTTGTGATATTGTAGGTGTTTGAAGAAAAACATACCAGAATAGTCTTTTTAGAAAAAAAAAAAATTTCCAGGTTGCCCACTTTCTTACCTGCTGGGTGGTCTGGAGCCCCTGACAGCAGGGTCCCTGCGTTTCTGACACACAGTAATGCTATTGGGGCAGAGGGAAGTGGGGTGGATGGGGGCCCGCCCCTGGACTCACCTACAGGCTGGGGCTTCTGTCCTGAGCCAGCATCCTCAGGTCCTGGTCAGTGGGAGGCCCCTCGCGCCCGCCTGGCACTCTGCCTCCACAGTAGCTGCAGGAAATGGGCACAGACTGGCTTGGGGTTGCCCCAGGTGGGAATGAGACTGAAATCAAGGAGACCCTGAGGGATCGGGAGATGGTTCCTTTAAGAAACTGAAAAATGTTAGGGTTTCAATGCTCAAAGGACGACTGGAGAGTGGACAAACCAGACCCATGGATGGGGTTACCGGGCCACGGTTTATGGCCACAGCCAGGCCATATCCTAGGGGTATCGGAATGTGTGCTCGTGGGGCCTTGGCCCTGCCAGAACGAAGCCAGCCCCCCTCCCCAGGGCACCTCCCGTCCTCCCCCCGACTCCCTCCTACGTTCGGAGTTCTGTTCACTCAGAATTGTACATGTTTAGTTGTGACCGTGACATATTGTTTGGGTCGGTGTTCCTCTCCAATGCATACTAATATATTATGGTTATTATATATGAATATATTTAATGACAAGGAGAAAGTTGTGGATTTTTTAAGTTTTTTTTTTTTCTTTTTTTTTTGGTTAGAGTTGTAATGGACCCAGATGGAACTTGTAACATGGGCCCCACATGATAGAACTAAATTCAGATATCAATTAAATAAACTCTTGTACACTGTTCTGTCTCCCAGTCTTTATTGGTGGCCTGAGCTACGGGTGGTCGGCCTGTGGGGAGAGAGGATGGTGAGTCCTCAGGCCATTTAAGGAATATGGCTTCTGGTCTAAAAACTCCCCAGCACGACAGAGCCCTGGGGTTTTCACAAAGCCTGAGATGGTGCCCTAACAACCCACTAAAATAAAAAAAATTAAAACAGAAACAAAAACAGGAAAAGGGCAGCTTTGCTTGGAAGGTCCTAGGGGCGGGCTGGCTCCACGTGCGATTTGGACAGTCTCTAGTTCAGTCCCCAAGAGACCATCCCTGGGGTCCATCCTGGCCAGTCCCCAGGGCTCCGGGTCAGGGGGCCTCCAGGGGTGGGGCAGAGTGCACCTCTGAACCTCCCCATCTGACTCAGAACCTGCAAGTAGAGTTTCTGCCTTGCACGTAACCAGTTTCTTCTATGCACAACTAAGGGGAGACTCACCAGCAGAGACAACAGGGTTAGTGACGTTCAAGACTTTTCTCAAGCCATCGCCGAGGCTTCGTTCGGCGCAGGGATGGGGCTGGGGCTGGGGCTGGCGCCACGCAGCCACCAGGAGCTGAGCTCGCTGGCTTTCTGGAGGCTATATTTAAACTTGCAAATGGTTGTGATTTCTCTATTAAATAAACAATTCAGTCATTAGGAACATGTTGCGTTACCATGCAAAGTGGAGCCGATCGTCACCAGGAAGCTATAATTTCTGCACCCAGCTGTTTCGAAGACAAGTCTCGGCCACGCAGCCCGCCCCCGGAAGGCACGGAAAGCCTGTTCCCGCTGCGTGGAGAGCAGGCCGAGACGCTGTTCCTGCGGCGCAGGAGGGAACAGGGCTAGCCCAGCCTCCTCAGGGGGCCCGGCTCTAGGAACGGGAGGTGTGCTCTCGGAACCAGGAGTCAAAACCCGGGTGGGTAGACCCAGGGGCGGCAGCACCGGATGCTGGGTGGGCAGGGACAGGCTACAGGCCTCAGGTGGCTGGACAGGCGGAGGCGAAAGCGAGCCTTTTCTGCAGCCTCGGGCTCCCCTCAAAGCCAGTTCAGACCCAGCTGGACTATTCGCAGGATTTAAGACATCTGCCAAAACAGGAAGTCAGCCAGCTTGCTGCCAAGTCCTGACCCAAGGTGGTTGGAAAAGTCCACTCTAGAGACCGGAATGCCGAGGCACGAGGAAACCGAGAGACTCCATCAGGGACCCGGGGGCCAGCAGAGTCTAGTCAAAAATCCAGACCCCGCTGGAGGAGAGTTCCCCGGCGTCTGGCTGGCTCTCGGGGAGGCTCCCGCATTCGTAAATCCCTACCCTCTGGCCAGAGACAGCGCCTGGGAATGGGGGCTGCCGGCTCACGGCAGAGATGCACCTAGGTTTCCGATTCTGTTGAACAGATAGCTCTGTCTGTATTCTTTTGAGACTAAATAAAGACGTTTAAGGAATACGCCAAGAAAAACTAGGCGTGGAAGGACGGACAGGGACTTCCCTGGTGGCGCAGTGGTTAAGAATCCGCCTGCCAGCACAGGCGACAGGGGTTCGAGCCCTGGTCCAGGAAGATCCCACATGCCGCAGAGCAACTAAGCCTGTGAGCTGCAAAGAAGAGTAGCCCCTGCTCGCCGCAACTAGAGAGAGCCCGTGCACAGCGACGAAGACCCAACGCACCCAAAAATAAAATTTAAAGGATGGACAGAGCCAGCGTGAGAAATAAGGCAATGAGTTAATCCATCCAAATACTCTATCAGACTGGAGACTCAACGGGACAGCAAGGCACTTCTGGAAAGAGGCAAATGCTTTCTGTTACTGGCATGGAGGTGGGAGAACTCTGAAGCCATAAGAAGCAATTAGAGGAAAGACGAGTCTTGGCCCACTTTTCAAAATAAAGGGGGGAAAAACCGCACTTACCTTCAGCAGGGCTAGGCTAGAAAACCCAACTAGATAAAAGACGATCTTTCACTAATCTACACAAAGAACTCTCGGTATAAGCCCGGAACTGGAGAGGCAGGAGTACCAGCTACAGGCCGGCTGGTGGTTCTCAGAGCACTGGTCAGGAGAGAACCTGACAGTCCTTGGAGCAGAGGGACAGTCGGGAATCCTGCAGCAGCCCCGTGCGAGGAGGGTCCAGGGCTCTGCCGGGAGCGCAGCGGAGTGTCCTGGGGCTAATGAAAACTAAGGTTTGGTTACAGTTATTAATTATAATGACATTTCAGTGGAACGAAAGTACCCGTCGTAACCAGGTATCTGGATTTCTTTATATAGTATCCAGACTTTAAATGCTTCTAATTAATCATCAGTTCAGTTAAACAGTACTTACGACGTTATTTTAATAAAGTTTACTTTCATCGAAAACGCACCCAAGGTGACGGGTCGTGCCTCTCTTCCCTACGCTTGGGGTACTACTAACTAACTGCTCACACCACCGATCCAGAGCCCTGCCGGCCGCCTGGCACCTTGGGCCTGACGCCATTGAAGGGGGAAACCAGGCCTGGCCAGACCCAGCTGGAAAATGCCACAGGACCCCAGGGTGGCTCCTGATGTAACAACAGACCCCGAGTGGCCCATCCCAGCCGCTCGGGATGCCCCTCGGCAATTCGGGGCTGCCCCTCAGTTCAGAGTGGGGTGGGTTCTCCCAAAAGGGGGCGCCTCCCTGCCCGGCACCACCCCAGGCCTGGACGGCAGGTCCTCAGGGTCTCACCCGACCAGCTTCTTACCCCTCCCCTGCCTGCAGGTCCAGGTCACCCGGCTAGGAAGGGCTGGGCCACGCCCACAGCCCACTCAGTCAAGAGAACAGAAGCCGCCGTGTGCGCACATCAGCTGAGCGTTTGGCTCGGAAAGGCCTTTCCGTGTGGCCGAGCCAGGCCGCCGTGGCTCTGGTTCAAAGACCCCCCACGAGTTGCCGGGGCTCCATGCTGAGCAAGGGGAGGTGAGAAAGTCAAACAGACCTTCAGTGCCCCCTCCCGTGAGCCCCAAAGTGGGGGGCTCCAAGGAGACGCTGTTTATACAGATTTGGGGTTTGGCACAAGACTGAACGATGTGCTCTGCGGATGCCTGATCTTCCACTGGGGGATCCGTTAGCAACCGCCCTGCCCCCGCGGAAAGTGCCTCCCAGGGCGCCTTAGGGTGCGCAAGCGCCTGGCCCCCGTCCGGCCCGGCTCCTTCGGGAGCACAGCGCCTTGGTTCCCGACACAAGCCTGCCTCCGTGTTCTCTCCTGTGCTTCCCCGTCCCGACCCCCGGCAGCGTGTCTCCTGCTCACGGCTGCCCCGCTCCTGCCCTCGTCCCTGGGCCACTGCCAGTCTGAACACGGCTCCCAGGGCCTCTCCTGCTCTGCACGTGCCGGCAGCTCTGGAGGGCAGCGGGCACCGGGTCGGAAGCAGGGGGTAGGATCCTCGAGCCCTGGATGCGGAGGCCACCCGGGCCGGGGGGCGGCTATAGGGTTGGGGTAGAGGGAGAACCCGCTGTCAGCTGAGGCCCTCGGGGTGCTCCGTGCTGCCACGTGCTGGCTCACCCGACCCTCGCAGTCAGCCCCGGAGGCAGGAAGCTGTGTTCTCTCCATTTTCTAGAGGAGGAAACGGAAGCACGAAAGGGTATCTGGCTCGCGCTCGCACTGCTGGCGAGGGGCGTGGCTGTCAGCGGGCGGCACTGCCTAGTTCAGGCTCTCTGCCTCTGGGTGCCTCCCGGTCCTCTCGCTGAGCAGATCAGGTGAGTCCAGCCAGGGAGCTGCGAGCAGAGGCGACGGCTTCCCTTCTGGGCAGAGCGTTCCCAGAGTCCCCTTTCTTCTGCCGCAGCCCGCGTGGCTGTCCCAGCAGCCCGGGTCTGGGCCCCCAGCCGACTTGCGTGGACGGGCAGCAGGAGGGAGGCACCGACGCTGGGGATGGAGTGAGGTTGTTCGGATTTGGGTGACTGTGACTGCAGCGCCGTCCCAGCTGGCCCGGAGCGGAGTCCAGGGCTAGACCACCTCCCAGAAGAGTGCCGCGTGTCACCGCCACACACACACCAGGTGGCAGCGGGGCTGCCCAGGTGGCCTGGTAGTGACCTGGCCCCTCTAGCGGGGAACTGCTGGGAATAGGGTCACCCAGCCTTTGCGGCGACTTAACAACTGACCAAGCACAGAACCTTGACTCCCCTGACAGAGGCCTGGGGTCTGGAGCCAGGTCTTCGCTGTGCGCTGGAGTCTCCGGGTCGCCAGTCTGCAGCGCGGTCCTCCTGGTGCCTATCTCGGCTCCCCGGGGAGGGAGGATGCGGTGAGATGGGTCAGGTCACGCCTTCTGGAGAGCAGCCGCCCACAGTCTCTAAGAAATCCACAGGAGACCCCCCAGGACTCCCCTCCCAGCTGCCCGATCTCTCCTCTTCCAGGGAAATCTTGTGCTTGGAAACTACCCTAGTTTCTCATCACCAATTCTTTCCCCTGGAGCCACAGAGCGCAAAGCATGGCCCGCCGGCCCGCCTTCCGCTTGGCCAGGAGGGAGGGCACGAAGCTTGGCCCTCTGCCCCTTCCAACCCAGACTCACCGCCGCGCCCGCGGGCCTGGCACCCTTCGCAGGCCTAGCCCACGCGTCTGCCCTTGCCATCACGCACGTGCACACGTGTGCAACGCGTGCAGTACCCACACACACAAGGTTGTCTGGGCCAGTTTAGGAGCCAAATAAAGGTACTGTTCTCCTCCCTGCATAATGAATCACACCTTCCCCTAAACCCTAAACGGTACCTTCCTGCCCGATCAGATTCATCAGACTCGATTCTGGCTGCGTACAGGACGTTTCAGCCTGAGAAGATGGGGTTACCACACCGAGGGAGGAAACGAGAACGTGCTTCTGGGTCTGCAGGTGGTTGCTAAAGCAGAGTCCTGAGCTACTTCACCAGCAGGAGTGGCGAGCCTCGGGGGGGGGACGCGGGCAGTGAGGCGCGCGGCAGTTGCCCGGAGACACGCGCCTGCGCGTGTCTCCTTCCTCATGTCACTCCTTCCTCCCTCTCGGACACGCGTGGCCTTGTCTGTTCACTGTCTCC